GCGGTAATGAGGGAGAAGAGAATGTGCCATTCCCTCAGGTATAAGGAAGGAGAAACTGGGGGGGGGGGGGAACAGGTCTGAGTACTTACCGTTGGGAACAGAAGGAGATACAGCAACCAACTCAGTTTCAAAATGGCTATAGGAAGAGGGTTGCAGGCAGCTGCTTGGCTCTGCCAGATTTAAAGGGCCACACCTGCCAGAAAGGCATGCTGGGGGGAAAAGTTCCTATAATACAGCCCTGGGGAGGGTTAGTAGGAACCAAACCTAGCCCCAATCCATGTAGGCAGACCCCTGTCACTACACAGAGCCATACTGAATTCAAAGGAGTTCCATGGGTTACAGGGCTCAGCCCCCAGAGAGAAAGGTGTAGGAGTGGGGCCTTAGGATTGGTTTATGCTTAAAAGTTAGGTTGACATAGCTAGGTCAGTGTGAAAAAATCCACTCCCCTGACGAGCACTGCTATGCCGACTTACCCCTGGTGGAAACACAGCTTGGTTGACAGAAGAATTCTTCTATTGGCATAGCTCCCGTCGTTCGGAGAGGTGGTGCTCTTACACAGACAGAAAGACTTCCATTGGTGTAGGCTGTGTCTATGCCAGGGGGTTATGCCACATCACTTTGGTGACATAACGATGCCAGCATAGTCTCGGTAGTGTAGACATACCCTTAGATATGGAGTGCTGTAGCACAAATGCTTCCTACCTCCACGGAAGGGGTTTTTCCATCAATGTAGATAATCCATCTCCCCGAGTGGCAGTAGCTACACTGAGGAAGAATTCTTCCATTGACCTAGCCATGTCTACACCAGGCATTAGGTCAGTTAACTGAGGCACTCAGGGGTGTGAATTTGCACACCCCTGAGTGATGTAGCTAGGTCAAGCTAAATTTTTAGTGTAAATTAGGTGTGATGGAGGGTGAGGCGGGAGGAGACACTCACCTCTTGCGAGTGCCTCCTGTCAGCTGGGTACAATCCTGCACTTTTTTTTTTTTCTGTTCCCCTGCACCTTTTTGGTGGGTGCCTTTGTCAGGCAGGTTTTCGGGGCAAAAGACACACGAAGAAACCCCTTCTGGGGTAATACAGTCCAACAAACAGTTGTTCTTTCCCAGGGTCTTCAGCCCCATCTCTGGGCCTGTTTAAACTCTAACCCCTTTCTTGGGCTTCAAAATGAAACTTGTCCCCTTCTCAGTTCTTTGGCCATTCTGCCAGTGTGGGGACCTGGGTCCACCCACTGCTTTGGATCCCAACCTGGGGGCCCTACAAGTAGCAGCCACATGCTGCTTTCTTTACAAGTTGCTATTGCTGCATTCCCTGGACTGCTTCCCACTCTATCCAACCGCCTTCTTGGGCTCTCTGTCTGTTCCCTGTGTGAGCAGGATCTCTCCCACACCTCCTTGGCTGGAGAGTTTCCTCACTCTCTGTCCTGGGTTCTCAGGGTCTCCGCTCAGGCCTCTTTGCCTGGAGAGCTCTGCCCCCTTTGTGTCAGGGTTCTGTCTCCCAGGCCTCTGCGCCTGGAGAACCTCACAGTCCTCTCCCTGCTTGAGCAGGGTTTCTCCCCAGTCTCTTTACCTGTGAGTCTCACACAACCTTTCACTCCTTCTTCCCCTTCTGGTCCCAGCCAGCAACTGCCCAGCTCAACTCCTGTAGCTCCTTTTAACTGAGTCTGCTGCACTCTGATTGGCTGCTTCCCTGCAGCCTTTCTAGGCAGCCCTGGAGGACCCACCTTCACTGAGCCTTTTCCTGAGGTGGGGTGGGGTAAGAACACAAGGCCTCCTGAAGGGGGCCTCAAAGAGCCTGGTACACGCCATTACACCAGGGCTCCGTTTGTAGCATTTTGGATCCAGGGATTTGGATTGGACATTTATAAAGAGAAGAGCTGTTGGCAAAATCCAGTTTCCAAAGAGCCTTAAAGTGAACGGGTTTCTCAGTGGTATTGTGATGACATTTGCAGAGCTAAACATTTCCAGGCCTGGAGCTGAAAACCTCTCTAACATGTTAAACAATTCAGTCATTATGCCAGGCCTCTCTTCCCCACCTCTTCCGAGATTGACCCAGGTTTGACCAGATTGCAGAAAAAAAAAATAATAATAGAAATAAACTTATTTTATCATAAGCAATACAAGATCATTACATATTACAAAAATAAAAATGTACTATATTGTCCCAAAAATGACCCTTTTTTTTAGTATAAGTTAGTACTTTCAAAAACAAAAATAAAAACTTCCAGTCAGTACCTCTCTGGTTGCTCTGAACCCGCATAACTTTGTTCACTCATATCTGATACTGGGCCACCATTAGATCAGAGAGAAACATACTAAGTGGGATTTTTAATCGTGCCTAATCCTGTCTTTCATATGAGGCCTGATCCATGTCCCTCTGAAGTCAATGGAAATACTCCCATTGGCTTCATAGGCATTCGATTGGACTCTTGCGTGTATCACATGTGGTCTTATACCGCTGGGTGTCTTTATCCACCACACATATGTAAAATCTAGGGACAGGAGAAACTGAGAGGTCTTATTTCTAGCAGTGGGTTTAGATGGGGGCAAAGTGTTATCTGCATAGTCCTAAAATGCAGCCATGTCTGCTCTTGCAAAATTCTACTCACCCACTTCTCTGGGACAAGCAGTTTTGTGTTGTGTTTTGTTATGGGTGAGTAAACATCACCCATTTTTCATCATCATCATGATGTTGGTAACGGAGGGCAAGAAATTTTGTGCTTGGGCTGGACCATTTTTAAGACCTAGAAATTAGAGATGGAAAAGATCTATTAGCTCAGCTAGACCTGGCCAGTGCAGGACATTTTCTAATGTTTTCTCCAGTCTAGCTTCAAATGTCTCAGTTGATGGGCATATGAATCTTGGAAGGGAGTGGGCAAATCTGATCAACATGAAGGTTGTTTTGCTTGTGAACTCAAACCACCAGCAATTCCAAAAGGGAAGATACAAGCACCAGCAAATATTAGGGAGGGTTCACATTTATTTTAACAATCATGGGCAAGATCCTAGCAACCTTACGCACACTGAGGAGTACTGTAATCTACTACTAGTTCCATGGGAGCAGAACCTCAGAAGGTGTAAATCAGTGTAGCACCTGGGCTTTGTGTTCAATAGAAAATGCTAGACCTTGATAAACTCAGCTATGTACTTATAGATTTTAAGGCCAGAAAGGATCATTAGACCAACTTCCTGTATAATCCAGGTCATAACAGTAGAAGAGATAGGAACAGAACCCAGCTTTCCTGACGCCCAAGACCATGTTCTATCCATTGGACCACTCTGCTTCTCTACAAATCAGTGTAATCAGGGGCAAGCCACGTTAACCTCATTTCAGCTAGTCAGGGTTAAAACCTAGTGGAAGGATAGGATTAACCACGACCTGTGGACATGATGTTGAATACAACTTGTCCCTAGTCTGTCTTCACTGCAGAGTTATCTCAGGATATCTCCACTGATATAGCCTAGCTTGAGTGAGTGCACCCACACTATGAAATAACTGTGTTCACATTTCAGAGTAACAGCCGTGTTAGTCTGTATTCGCAAAAAGAAAAGGAGTACTTGTGGCACCTTAGAGACTAACCAATTTATTTGAGCATAAGCTTTCGTGAGCTACAGCTCACTTCATCGGATGCATACTGTGGAAACTGCAGAAGACATTATATACACAGAGACCATGAAACAATACCTCCTCCTACCCCACTCTCCTGCTGGTAATAGCTTATCTAAAGTGATCACTCTCCTTACAATGTGTATGATAATCAAGGTGGGCCATTTCCAGCACAAATCCAGGTTTTCTCACCCCCCCCCCCCTTTCCAAAAACCACACACACAAACTCACTCTCCTGCTGGTAATAGCTTATCCAAAGTGACCACTCTCCTTACAATGTGTATGAAAATCAAGGTGGGCCATTTCCAGCACACATCCAGGTTTTCTCACCCCCCCCCCCAAAACACACACACACAAACTCACTCTCCTGCTGGTAACCTATCCTGAAGGATGACCCAACACTCTCACAAATCTTGGGAGACAGGCCAGTCCTTGCCTACAGACAGCCCCCCAACCTGAAGCAAATACTCACCAACAACCACATACCACACAACAGAACCACTAACCCAGGAACCTATCCTTGCAACAAAGCCCGTTGCCAATTGTGCCCACATATCTATTCAGGGGACACCATCACAGGGCCTAATAACATCAGCCACACTATCAGAGGCTCGTTCACCTGCACATCCACCAATGTGATATATGCCATCATGTGCCAGCAATGCCCCTCTGCCATGTACATTGGTCAAACTGGACAGTCTCTACGTAAAAGAATAAATGGACACAAATCAGATGTCAAGAATTATAACATTCATAAACCAGTCGGAGAACACTTCAATCTCTCTGGTCACGCAATCACAGACATGAAGGTCGCTATCTTACAACAAAAAAACTTCAAATCCAGACTCCAGCGAGAAACTGCTGAATTGGAATTAATTTGCAAATTGGATACTATTAATTTAGGCATAAATAGAGACTGGGAGTGGCTAAGTCATTATGCAAGGTAGCCTATTTCCCCTTGTTTTTTCCTACCCCACTCCCCCTGCCCTCCAGACGTTCTGGTTAAACTTGGATTTGTGCTGGAAATGGCCCACCTTGATTATCATACACATTGTAAGGAGAGTGGTCAGTTTGGATGAGCTATTACCAGCAGGAGAGTGAGTTTGTGTGTGGGGGGGGGAGGAGTGGGTCAGAAGACCTGGATTTGTGCTGGAAATGGCCCACCTTGATTATCGTGCACATTGGGGGGAGAGTGGTTGCTTTGGATGGGCTGTTACCAGCAGGAGAGTGAGTTTGTGTGTGTGTGTTTTGGGCGGGGTGTGAGAAAACCTGGATTTGTGCTGGAAATGGCCCACCTGATGATCACTTTAGATAAGCTATTACCAGCAGGAGAGTGGGGTGGGAGGAGGTATTGTTTCATGGTCTCTGTGTATATATAAAGTCTGCTGCAGTTTCCAGGGCTTGCATCCGATGAAGCGAGCCGTAGCTCACGAAAGCTCATGCTCAGATAAATGGGTCCGTCTCTAAGGCGCCACAAGTCCTCCTGTTCCGTTTGTGTTCACATTGGCGTTGCACTCACTCGTGTGTGGTGCTAAGACTTCTCGGGTCATATCCCACGGTTCTTTGCACTCCTGTAAGCCGAGCCACTCTATGAGTTCTTTCCCAGTGAATTGTGGCTGGCCTGGTCTGTCCTTACTGGGCACACTGATGGAATTGTGGGAAGGCATTGGAGGACTGGTCACCCTCAAGTGGGACTAGCCTGCATCCACACTTAAGTGGTCATGTTGGCAGCTGATGAGTTGCACTAACTCAAGCTTTAGCTCCTACGCCCTAATAGGCCAGCAAACTCGAGTTAAAAGCACCACCACACTGGAGCTAAGGGTTTGCGTGTGTAGGCAGGATTCGAGTTAGGGGCAACACTCACGTTATAACTTGGCAGTGAAGACAAGCCCACTGACTACAAAGTAGGGTTTAACATCATGTTACTTAACCTGACTCCTCTCGGTCGTGTTCCCACACTGCCTAATTTTCTAGCGAGGACCATTGGCTTTAATAATGCCAGACTGATTTACACCAGCTGAGGATCTGGCCCATGGTTGAGTCAGGCTCAGTACTGAGTAAAAGTGGCAGAATTGGGCCCTTTCTCAATTAGCTGCAGCTCCTGGCAAATTGCTAAAAGTTGCAGCGTGCTGTTGCCTCCATGCTAGAACGTTTCCCAGCTGCTGTACATCTAGTTGCTTAGGCCACGTCTACACTAGCGAGCTCACGGTGGCACAGCTGTACCGATGCAGCTGCGCCGCTGTAAGGTCTCTCGTGTAGCCGCTCTGTGCCGACAGGACAGAGCGCTCCCGTCACACAATTAAACCACCCCCAATGAGCCGCAGCAGCGATGTCAGTGAGAGAAACTCTCCCGCTGACATGGGGCTGGGCACACTGCCACTTACGCCAGCGAAATTTATGTCGCTCAGGGGGCGTGGTTTTTTCACACCCCCAAGCGACATAAAATTTTGCCAACATAAATGGCAGTGTAGATGGAGCTTACACACCAGCCCCGGATTGCCTGGCCAGCTATATCATGAAAGGCCTTATCGCTTTCTCAGGAAAGATGAATCACTAGGGAAAGGATAAAAAGAAACCCCACCCAAAATTAAAGTCAGTATTGGGCAATTAGTAAAAGCTGCACTTTGGAGGCCTTATGGCTTTCGAAAAGCCTTTAGAATTTGGGTGTGACAGGGTAGGGCAGCACTATCCCGTGCCTGGTGAACAAGCAGTGCTCTCTGGAGAAAAGCTATGAGAGCAAACACTCGGGAGACAGAGGAGGGCTATTGCCTTTGGGAAGGTCAGGCAACCCATAAAAGTGGGTAGAACCCCTTGCTGGGGAGTTTTTCTGTTTCCTTTCTGCCTATAATTTACTTACTTTCCTTTCTTGTGCTAAACATTCACCCAGGAGGAAAAGACTTTGCAGAGTTTAACTACTTTTCTGATGAGTCATCCTCCCGGCTTGGAGTGAGGCGAAAAGTCTCACATCCCTAATATGAATGATAAAAACTTCCCCAATAGATGCACTGGATGAAAAATGGGGAAATGATTTTGTGAAAAACATCAAAGTCTTTTCCATTTCCCAGAGCTCCATTTTCGGAGATATTTTAAGTCAATATTCGGATTGAAATTTTTATCAAAATAATTATCGGCATTTTTCACGCACTGCTTTTCTTGCCGATTGCAATAATTTCTTGATAAAAACATCAACAGAAAATATGGCAGAAAATGTCGTGAAAGGCAGAACATTTCAATAATATCGACAGGTGGGTTCGGGTTTGGGGTTTTTTTTTGAAAAAATTTGTTTTAGAAAAACCAGTATGAACTTTTAGCACGGCTATTATTCTTTTAGCATGCTTGTCACTTCTTTGGCCTGACCACCATGCAGCAGGTAGTCTTTTCTCACTCCTGGATAGACACCATTCCGTATCAGAGAGAGGAGCGGGTTTGGAGGAGGAGTATTTGGGTTTCAGAGCTGAACGAAGACATGCATATGGGATTACAATATATCATTGAAGCAGCACCTTAGTTCCACAAGGTCATTAAACTGGTGACATACACACAGGTGTATCTTGTTGAGCCATTCCTGCTCAAGCATCAACGCCTGAAGCCTAGGGAATCAACCCAATGGGTGACAGCCGTCACCTTGGCTGACCCACCACAGGTAGGACCTTCAGAGCAAAAAGCAAGAGCTGGTGCAGCATTAGCTAACGAGTCATGCCTCTGTAGCTGGGGGCTGCAAAAACTCAGACCCTCTGTAACTCAGTGCAGAGTGGGACCTGTAACAGACTCACCAGTGGGTTACACATGCATAATGGCCACATGCCAGACTCCCCTACACACGGTGGAGAAGTCCTTCCACCATGGAGACAGAATAGTCTGCAATGTGGTAGGACAGTGGACAGAAATGTAGCAGGCTGGGATTTCACATTTTGGCTATCATATCTAGGTTGTTGCTGGTTCCTGTGTTGCTGGTGGGAGTTACCTTCAGGGCCGTTCGGTTTGGAGTTTTCACTGGCATTTTGTTGCCTGCGAACTTCACAAACCTTTGGCCTACTAAGAAGTACAAAATGGGATCCAGGCAGCTGTTGGTGCTAGCTAAGGGCCTGGTCACTTTGTAGGCTAAGTTAATGGCATTAAGGGTCCCGCAGCTAAGGTCCCAGCTCCGGAAGGAGTAGTACAAGGTGCGAGTGACATGGAAAGGAAGGAAGCAGATGATGAAGACCACCAGGACAACAATGATCATCTTGACTGACTTCTTTTTGGACTTAGACCTCCTGGAGGTCCCCCGGGTGGGCTGCAGCAGCTTCCGAGCCATCAGGTAGTAGCACACGATGATGGTCAGGAAAGGGATGCAGAACAGCAGCACCAGCATCACCGAGCTGTAGATGACGAACTGGCCGAAGAGCTCCTTGCTCGACGTGTCGTGGCAGGTGATAGTCTTGCACCTCACACTGGTGGTGACAAAGAAGAGCACCGGTGATTGGCACGTGATTATGACCAACCAGACGACCCCTGACACCCTCCGCGCGTAGCGGACACGGCCCCACTGCAGTGACTTCAGCGGGAAGCAGATGCCCAGGAAACGGTGGACACTGATGCAGAGCAGGAAGAGGATGCTGCAGTAGAGGTTGGTGTAGAACAGGAAACGGACTATTTTACACAAGCCCACACTGAAAGGCCAATTGTCCCCCTTGGCGTAGTAATACACCAGCAAGGGCAGGGAAACCACGTAGAGCGTGTCGGACACGGCCAGGTTGAACATGTACGTGGTGGAGGCGTTCCAGGTCTTGATCCTGAAGAGGAAGACGTAGAGGGCCAGCAGGTTGAGGCACAGCCCCACCACGCACACGATGCCGTAGGAGACGGGCAGCAGAATGTACTTGAACTCCTCGTCAAATTTGCACTTGTACGTGTTGTCTTCCACGCTGCAGTCCACAGTGGATGAGTTGGCGCTCGTGTTCCAGGAGCGCAGAACCATAAAGTTCTCCATTGCCCTAGAAAACAGGGAGTAAACCGTCAGCGAATGCAGGGGTGGCTCATTGAAATGGGAGAGTAAATATGTTTGGATGAGAACTCAAGCAAGACAGTGTATCACTGGGCAGAAGAGATGAGTCACATTGTAAGGATTGTTATGTATGTGTGTGTGTGTGTGTGTGTGTCCCAGACTGCACGCCGGGGGGGATCTAGTCACACAGAGTGTTGGGGTTCTTAGGGACTGGCTTGTTTTGGCCTTGTTTTGAAATGGGATTAGCTTGATTTTTGGCTTATTGTGAAAGTCAGGGTGCTTATTTATCATGTGAAAGTTGGCAGCTGTGCCGTGGGCATGGAAAGCAGAACCACACTGGATGGGTGGAAGGAAGGATGCAGCTTAGTTCCTTAAGTTTAGTTTCCAAAGTTATATTTGGCATTTTTTGCAGATGTGATGCAACTTACATTGACATGGGCTGTGTCCATTGTTATGGGTATAGCTGAATTAGTGGACTGATAGAGTCTGCAGGATACTAGTTTCAGAGTAACAGCCGTGTTAGTCTGTATTCGCAAAAAGAAAAGGAGTACTTGTGGCTCAGCTGTAGCTCACGAAAGCTTATGCTCAAATAAATTGGTTAGTCTCTAAGGTGCCACAGGATACTAGTGACATACTTCATTGACAATAAACCTGACTGGGTGCCTTTGTCCCTTAACGGATCTTGTGGTCATTAGGCGGTTCGCTCAAGGTCTGCCGTGCCAGCTGTCTGCGCAGGGCTGGGGCAGCACACAGAAGGAACATACACACGGAGCCAAACATCTATCAACTTCTAACCACAGCAGCAATGTAGACAAGCCCCTTGTAGAAGCAGGTCACCAGAGAGCATAAGAAAAATCAGCATGTAAATTGCACACATGGGGAGTGCATGAGAATGAGTGCATGCTAATACCTGCGTCATGGAAAATCTGCATCCTCTGAACCTTGAGGGCAGGGAAGGCACAAGGTGGGGCAGCTGGTTTCAATTTTGCTTTGCTTTCGGAGCAGAACTCAGGGGAGCCGTGGGGAGATATGTAAGTGTTACGCAGTCATTTTCTCTAGAGCTAGCTGGAGCAAGCCTCCTCCTTTATGCTTTTCTTCTGGAAAGGGCTGACATAAGAGCTGTCGTCCCCACCTTCGCTCTGACCCCTTTGCGGTGTAGAGAGGCCCTAGATCCCCCGTTCTGCTCAGGGAGGGAACCCCTTGGCATGACAAGCCCTGCCATAAGGGGTGTGCTGAGGATACAGCTGGGGCTGCAGCAGGCTGCACTGCAGAGTTTCCTGGCAGCACTGCATCCCATACAGAAGCCCTGGAAGGCTGCCATAACTTAGACAGGCCACTGGGGCTGTCTAAATCACAGTGGGGGCTACTAAAGTCTCTGGAGCAGCCCAGGATTGGGATGGTGTGAAGGTGGCTTAAAACTACCTTAGTCACTCCACTCCTGGCCCTAAGTTCCATGCTGCGTCTCGCAGGGCCTAGCCCTCGAGCTCCACTTCCAGAAGCCCAGGCAGACTCAGCCAAAGCTGAGTGCTCGTGCAGCTGGCAGAAGCGCTTGAGTCTTGTCTCCAGCCAACCGGAGGGCTTTACCTCCCACCACAGACAGTCCATGCGCGAAAGATTCAGTCCAGAATCTCAGGAGAGATAATGAGACCCACCCCGAGTAGAGTACTGTAAACTAGAGGGGCATGAGAAAACGGGCCCAGCTTTCTGGAATGTGGATGCTGCCCAGACACCGCTGGTACACATCATATCTAACAGTAGGGTTGCCACCTTTCTAATTGCTGGTAACTGGACCCCCAAGGCCTCGCCCCTGCCCTGTCTCTTTCCCCAAGGCTCTGCCCTGTTGCTCGTTCCCTCCCCCCCACACCCCAATTGCTCACTGAATCATCTCAAGGAGCCTGTCTGGTCAGGGGTTGGCACGGGTTAATGACCCGGCACCTTCCCCCACCCTGCAGTAACCCAACTTTTGGTTCGGATGCCATTTAGGGGTGCCAGGTCCCCGAAAACCAGGCACCTGGCAACCTTAAGTGGCACCTGGACTCAGAAGCCAAAAACCGGCCAGGTAGCAGCCTCATCAAACAGAGCTGCTCATACCACACAGCATCACTTCTGCTAGCCAGATCCAGAATGGTATTCTCATCTGACGCGTGGCTTGTCGGAAATAGCGGGTTACATTAATATCAGCAACCTGGTAAAATGAGGAAGGATCGTGTCTGCTCTGGACAGCTATCCTGTTCAGAGCCAAACCTCTCCTGAGCAAGGTGCCCCCAGCTCTGTTACATATGCCATGTGCCAAAAGGCCCCACACCTCAGCGCCGATGGGTTCCACGCTGTTGTATCTCTTGCTCTTTACCCAAAAAATTTCAAGGCGCCAAATAGTCAATGCTGGGTCCCCAATACAAAGAGGCCAGGTACAGCTGCTTTGTAATAACTGAGCCTGCACATTCACGCTAAATGTAAAAAGTATGTGAGAGTTCGTAAGATGTCACAATAACAGCTGTTGAAGGGAAAAGGGATAAAAGGGAGACAGATTCCATTAGTCTAAACAAAATGCCCCGCTGATATGATTCAAGGACTCTGTTGGTGTTGGACTTAATCAACAAGAAAATGTGGGTCCGGAAATTAATGAACCAAAATGGGTGTGTTGGATATGAGGCCTCCGCAAGGGACAAAATAATGAGGGGATGGGCTATTCCACCCACCACTGCCTTCTGAGGTCCTTAAAGAAAGAGACTGTGGGGAGGTAATGGGAAGAACAGACAGAGGCATGGTTGCTCCCCCCAGCATTTCCTGGGACCCGGGCCTTCATGGTGCTCGTCCTGAGATGTCCTGACCAGACCAGGCCAGAGAGAGGTACCAAGATGACATCACCACCCCTACCAGCTCCTCCTGCTTATTCCCAAACACCACCTGAGATGAAACAGGACCAGACGTCAACAACAACAGCAATTCCAGCTCATCTCAACTTCTATTTTACCCAACAGGACAGTTATTACCGTCTTACTGTTGGACAGTGACTGGGTTATGTTAACACCTTTGGCCCATTGGATTCCATGTCACTTAACACAACACTACATACAAACTGCTGCTCTGGCTGCAGAACACCGTGAGCACCACTAGAAGGCTCACATACTATTTAAAGGGATACTGTCCTATTCCTATACACCATGTACACCACTGTATACATGTTTCCAGTGTTAACATCCATACAAGGGTTGATTCCTGTATTGCATTCCTCATTGCTCCATAACACAGGTACCCAGAGATACAGCTTCAACATCGCTCCCAAGCTGGCCACGCCTGGTCATAAGTCTCTCCCTCCCCTCAGAGCTGAATGCGCTGCTTCCATAGCCCAGGGAAGATCAGAAGAAAATCAAATCCAATTCTTCCACAGAATAGTGCAGAGCACTCACTAGGCTGCCCTAAGGCCAGCCCCGTGGTAGGGCACTGAACTGGGTGCTGATGGATTAACCCATGGAGTGAATCTGGGCAAGCCACTGAACTGCTCTGAGCCCCACTATCACTATTTTACAAGAGGGGCGGGAATAATACTTCTTTGTACAGCGCTTTGAGGCCTACACATGAGAAGTGCTCTACTCAGTGTGGATTTAGCACCATGGCTACTCAGTGTGGTTATTAACTGGTGTATTTGCATACTATTGCCCCCTGCTGGCTGGACTTGGACTCGCTTAAGAATCTATGGCTATGTCGCCATCTACTGGCAGACCTAAAACGAGGGTATAAGACTTACATCTAGCGGCTGCTAATGCAGTATCTCCATTAGCACAAGTAGTTTTCTGAGCTGAAGGTCCTGAGGTTTTTCCCCCCACGCCACATGAGGGCAGTTTAGCTGATGAGTGGAGAGTTACATACCCACATACTGTAAAATGAGCCCATACTGGACTTGCTCTTTGGCTTGGCCATATAATTATGGAGAACACCACCGGCTCACAATGGTGTATTGTTATTTAGTGTCCTAATATACATTTCTTTTTGCAACATGAAGCTAGTTGGTTGCTAGGTCTGGAGAGACCTGCCCCCGTCCTTCCCCTTTGTTTGAGCAAATGCCCTAAATTCCTACAACAAAACCTGCTGTGTCTCTTTGGGCTCCCGGCTGCCTGACCCCCGCCCACATCCCACTTCAGCTGCCCCCACATCCTACTTCAGCTGCACTGAGTGATCGCATGGGAGCGACAGCCAAGCAATGCAAGGACACAAAAGAGAGCAGGTTGACCTTTCCCCAGAGGCAGAGCAAGGACTGGGAGTGGGATGGAAGAATGTCAGCCTGTGCGTATGACACATCCAAGCACTGACCAAGACCGGGGATAGGGCAGAGGGGAGGGACCAGAGGGAAACATGACATTCTCCCTTCCCATGATGGCAAATGTTGATCTCAGTTATGCCTCGTGGAAATCTACTGACTCCCAAAAGCAAATCCAGAGCAACTCCATTGTCTTCTTTCATGACCCTCCAAAGGGTCAGGATGGGCAGCTGTTCCTCTCACATCTGGCACTGGCCACTGCTGGTGACGGGATGCTGGACTAGATGGGTCACTGGTCTGAGCCTGTCTGGCAGCTCCTATGTTCCCTGTGTGCAGTCCCACAAGGCCCACTTCTGTCCTAGTCAATAGATAGGTCAGACATCTAGGGAAGACTGTGAGATGTTATTGACTTCACGGCCACAGAAACACTGATGACCCCCAGCCCTACATCTCCTGTCACGTGCTGACGGTGTTGACTCCGGAATCTGAATGGGACAAGCCCCTGGATGAAGAGCAGCTGGATACAATTCAACCCAGGCAAGAGGGAGAGAAGGAAATGCCATGAAGAGCTGGCTGAAGCCAAAGCCAGCCTCTGCCTCCGGGTGTCTGCTCTCCACTTGAAAAGGTGGAGCACAGCACCGGAGACCTGTTGGACGCCTCAGTGCTCCTTGATACCCACAGCGCAATGCTGCCTTGTGCCTGTGGCTGGCCGGGAGGCTGCACCCCTGGCTGCCGGCTGAAGTTCTAGCCGCAGTGACCCAGAGGCTCACGACCTCCCGCCCTGGTGATTGCATCTGGACTGCTTGATGGGGAGGGAAGTGAGCACCATCAGGAAACGCCAACTTGTCCAGTATGCAGCAGCCGATGTTATGCGTAGGGCAGTATGTCAGGAGCACATCCCTCACATGCCTCCCACGCTCATCTGGCTACCTCTGCAGTTCCGGATCAGCTGCCAGGTCCTAGGGTTACTGCACCCGCAGTGGCCTGAGCCCTACCTCTTAGACTGCCTCTCCTTTTGCGAGCTATGGACATCAGGACCACTCTTGCTGGCAAAGCCCAGGGGCTAGCAGCTCTCAGAGACATTCCTGGCAGTAGGCTCTGGGCTTTGGGACACCATCCACCCAGAAATCGGAATGGGCCCAAGATCAAAACACCTCAAGAATGAAAGCAGCGATCCACCTCTTGGGACTTGACTTCAGGCAACAACTACTCCACTAGCCCATGCATAATAGACACATGTCTACTATACATGTATATAGGATACCTCCTCCAGCAACATGAATGGAGGGATGGAGTTTCTCAGCCCTGTTCTGATGTATAGAGTTCTGTGAGTGTATCCAGATATGGTGATGGAGGCAATATATTTACCTAGACAGGTAGGAGTTATTCTGTATCGACACCATTGCACCTGAGATCAGGATCTGTCGACTGTCTCCTGACTTCAGATCCGCTGGCGCGTAGCAGACTACTTCTCCACAGGCATCTGCCTGGCTCTCTGCAGCAGCCCACAGACACAGCTGCAATTGTCGTGCTGAAGCACTTGAGTAGTTAGCCTAATGTTCTCCAGAGGAAGGTCCTGAAATTAATCAGAAACAAAATCTTCATTACTAGTAGGAGGTGAACGTCGGGGCAAGTACTATTCCGTCTGCCCTGGAGGGCGCATGGTGGAAATGATTCAGTGTGTGGGAGACAAATAGCTATGTGTTTTCAAGAGAAAACATCCTGCTTGCAGTCTGTCTCCTGGATGCTGCTTTGCAAGCAGTTCTGAGCACATATTGCAGTACACACACACAGAGGCATTAGAACGGACTAGTGGCTGACAAAGTCTGTCATGTAAGTTCTGTTTTTTCCATAGAACAAAAAAGGGACCATGTTGCTTCTCAGGCCAGCTCTTCAATAGGGAAGTGAAAGGATTGGAGCGCAGCCAAATTTATGTTCATCATGGTCTCAGGAAAGCAAGGATTACAAAATGGGCTTCACGTTTCTCTGCAATAATTTCAAAGGGTCAGTATGGAGGAGTTTAAGCCCCAGGTTTAGGTTCTGTTTAAATAAAAAAAGTCCCAAACCCCAGTGTGACTAGCACTGACGTGAGCTGTTTGGAAATGTCGAAGGAGGCGGGCCTTTCATGAGTTTAAACTTTGGACCCCCAAACACAGTAGCCTTGAGCTGATGCAGATAACCAGAAAGTGAAATTGACTAGACACAATGGGCCAAATGCTGCTCCTGGCAACACAAATGCAGCTCCTACTGGTTCTGGTGGAAATTATACCCGTAACCAAGAGCAGAATGTAGCCCTGAGAGTGCAACTAACTTCACTGTCCAAGCTACAGGCAATGCAGAATGTGAACTAGATCAGTGCTCTGTTGTAACCAGTCAATTTGATGTCTTAAAATTACTTCACCTAAGGACATTTTCAAATATAGTAAATAATATAATCCCTAAAGTAACAATACTTCCTTTCTCCCACTGCCGTATGTATTGAGATTGTGACCAATTCTCATTTACACTACTATGACTGTGTAAAGGGATCTTAAAGTAGTAACTTTACACCCATTCACACCCACCTGAGGGCCCCTATCCGCTCCCAGAGCAGTGCTAAGGAGCCTTGATATAAATGAGAATGAGGCCGTTAAGCTCTTTAGGGCAGGGACTGTCTCTTACCACCTGTCTACAGTAATAAAGCCTCTGTCTTTGGCTGAAAGTTTGAGGTTCTCCTGCAATAACAGTAGATTACGTGAGAGACCTAACTCCCTCGTGAGACATCTAGATAAGCCTGGCCTAATTCTTCAGGGAGCTGAGCATCCACAATTCCTAGTGAAGTCACTGGGGGCTGCAGGTGCTCAGCCGCCACTGGCTTTTATTTGGGCATCTACGTACATATGTAGATGCCTAACTCTAGAGACGCTCATTGGAATACTTTCAGCCACAGTTTTATTAGTAACACAAAGATTAGAGGGTTTTTTAATTGTTCTTTTCAGCGGGTTTCTGGTCCAGCTAGCTTCTAGGATCTAATGTGGTCTGTGACTAGGACCCTGGATTGGAAGCCAAGAGAACTGATCCCAGTCTAAGGAGATCTAAGGAGATCCCTGGCTCAGCTACTAACCCCTTTGGGATGGAGCAGAGAGGCCCCACATTGGCAATGAGAGGGTTAAGGAGGCTGACCGGTTCCTCACTGGCACTGAAAGTGTTAGGCCTGTGGACCCAGTTGGCCTCACCCTGCTTCCTCTGCAAGGGGAGATAAAAGGAGAGGGCCTCACTTGGGTGAGTGCTGACCAGGAAGGAGGTTGGAGCTCTGCTTCTCTGAGGGCGGGGAAGAAGGGGAGGCTGGTTGCAGCCCTGAGCCGGAGCTTGCTGGTCAACCAGATCCCTCCTCCTGGAAGGGTGGCCCAGATAATGGGAAGGGAACTGGCAGAAGTGCAGACTGTTTTGGAAACCAGCCCTGACTAGATGGGCAGGGCACCACGGAAGGGGTGTGGGATGGCCCTGGCTTTGAGCTGGGTTTCTTTTTGTTCCTGATTACCATTGAACTTCAGCACCCAAAAGGAGGTAGGACTGAAGGTACCACGACCCTGGCCTCGGAGTGACTGACCCTGACGACCCTGGCCTCGGGGTGATGAAAACAGATCAACGGAGACCTGCAACAGAGCAAGCTGTGTCCTCAAGGGCAGCGAGGGGGCACTGGCCTGGCAACCTCACCCCTGTGTGATCCTGAGCGCGTCACTTCATCTGTCTGTGTCTCTTGCTCCCCTTCCTAGGTGGAATGTTAGCTCTTCAGAGCAGAGACTGTCTCTCTGGGTTTGTACAGCATCATAGGGCCAAGAGGTGTTACCTATCAGCTCTGTGTTCTTGGGGAACCAGGGTGCAGTACCCAGCTTGTCTGACTCACGGAGGACACCACCCACCCAGTCTCTGCTTGAATCAAAACTAATCAGAAGAAAGACTTACAAAAAGCAATGAAAAAGCAGTGGGAGACACATCTGAACCTCTCCGGACAAGGGTGACAGGATTGAGGCAACTCCCCTAGCCTCATTTGCATCGAAGATGGGACAAGGATGCAACTTCATTAGCATACAGAATGGAGAACAGAGATTCCAAGGCAAGAACCGCACAGAACTCTGGGACCAGAAAAGCAGGGAAGCACTGCATGATGGGGGATCTCTGCTCCAGATGTTAATGAACCCACGCCTGCACACATCCTGCTCAGTAGTTATCAGACCAATTCTAGTAATAAATCCTTGATTGGTATCCAAAATAGTGTAGCTCCCGAATTGTATTGTGAGCTCCCTCCAAGGAACACTGCCCAAAGCCAGGAATGATCAGCTCCCATGGTCTAGCCTGAACAAACCAACTTTGGTATACTCCCTTGAGCCATCAGCTTACACATAAACAAATCTAGTGTTCTCCCTTGAACCATTGTTGTTTCTCTACAAAAACCCCTAACCAAGCTCAAGTAAGTGTTCTCATGCCTGGATCCAAAATCTGTATCAGTTCCATGGGGACTTCATCTTCTCCTGACTGATCATGCTGGGGGCTCTGCCTGTCTCCAGCACTCTGGACCCTCAGCTACCACCACCACCTGGGGACCCCAATTGATTCAAGTTTCACGGAGTGGTGAGAATCCAGCGCTATCTCTCTCTCTCCCTCTAGGTATAGCCTTCTGACCCTGACTTGCGTCATCAGTTATAGTTTTCTAAACTTGACTTTTATAATCAAATTTAAGTTAGCTTTACTATTACGGGGGGAGGGATAGCTCAGTGCTTGGAGCATTAGCCTGCTAAACCCAGGGTTGTGAGTTCAATCCTTGAGGGGGCCATTTAGGGATCTGGGGCAAAAATAAGGGATGGTACTTGATCCTGCTCTGAAGGCAGGGGACTGGACTCAATGACCTTTCCAGGTCCCTCCCAGCTCTATGAGATGGGTATATCTCCATATTAAATAAAAAATTATAAGTGGTTTGTTTGTTTGGGTCCCCTATGGTTATTACCTGGCAATAAATAACTTTCATGATTAAGCTGGTTGCTTCTCTTCCCCTCGTGGGTGTTTTTTGGTTTCCTCATTCGCTCTGCAGCAACACTCCTTGCACCTCAGCTAAAGATCCCTGCAGTGCCCAAAAATCCTGTGGGGTTTGCTCATCAAGTGGGTTACGACCAGAACAATTGTAAAGTGAAAGTGGGGATAGGGACGTGCTGAACCGGGGGCATATGAGGATGGCAGATTGAAAGTGCTGCTCGACCCAGTCTGCTCAGACGGGCTCTATTCCGGTGCGCTACCCAAGGCATATGAGGGTGACAGCTTGGAGGTGCTGTTTGACCCAGCCTGCCGAGTCCAGGGACATATAAGGGGTCAGCTTGGGAGTGCTGATTAACCTGGTCCTCTCAGACGCGCTCTGTTAATGTGTGTGTATGTTCATCTGATTCTGGGGCTGGAAGAACCCAGCCTTGGGGAATCTAGGTCCTGCAGGATAGCTCCACTGGAAGGGACTTGCAGCAGGGAGAAGTAGAGCTCCGTATGAACACACAAGTGACACAAGCAGTATGTTGACAGAATTACAGAACCCGCCCCCCCTTCCCAGAAGAGTAACCCTAATAAATGAGCATACCCCAAAGTAACGGGCAACGCTGGTAACAGAGGTTTGCCTGTGGACCCAATTGCCTGTGACCCAGGGATCTGGAGCTGGTCCTCAAAGAATCAATCCTGAAGCACTTACATGAGAGGAAAGTGATCAGGAACAGTCAGCATGGATTCACCAAGGGAAGGTCATGCCTGACTAATCTAATCGCCTTCTATGATGAGATTACTGGTTCTGTGGATGAAGGGAAAGCAGTGGATGTATTGTTTCTTGACTTTAGCAAAGCTTTTGACACGGTCTCCCACACTATTCTTGTCAGCAAGTTAAAGAAGTATGGGCTGGATGAATGCACTATAAGGTGGGTAGAAAGTTGGCTAGATTGTCGGGCTCAACGGGTAGTGATCAATGGCTCCATGTCTAGTTGGCAGCCGGTGTCAAGTGGAGTGCCCCAGGGGTCGGTCCTGGGGCCGGTTTTGTTCAATATCTTCATAAATGATCTGGAGGATGGTGTGGATTGCACTCTCAGCAAATTTGCGGATGATACTAAACTGGGAGGAGTGGTAGATACGCTGGAGGGCAGGGATAGGATACAGAGGGACCTAGACAAATTGGAGGATTGGGCCAAAAGAAATCTGATGAGGTTCAATAAGGATAAGTGCAGGGTCCTGCACTTAGGACGGAAAAACCCAATGACAGCTACAGACTAGGGACCGAATGGCTAGGCAGCAGTTCTGTGGAAAAGGACCTAGGGGTGACAGTGGACGAGAAGCTGGATATGAGTCAGCAATGTGCCCTCGTTGCCAAGAAGGCCAATGGCATTTTGGGATGTATAAGTAGGGGCATAGCGAGCAGATAGAGGGACGTGATCGTCCCCCTCTATTCGACATTGGTGAGGCCTCATCTGGAGTACTGTGTCCAGTTTTGGACCCCACACTACAAGAAGGATGTGGATAAATTGGAGAGAGTCCAGCAAAGGGCAACAAAAATGATTAGGGGTCTGGAACACA